CTGGACAAACCGAAAACAGCGAAAACGAATTCCTCCGGCGAGGGCAATGTGAGTTGCCATTTTCTACGATTAAAACTGTGATAACTTACCATTTGGTGCCACTTGGCTGGTTGGGTGGGCGTCGTGCTTTCCAACACTGCCCGTTATTCGGGCGCTACCCATTACACTTTGGCATCGAAGGGTCAATTTAATATTTTCTCTATAAAAATTTGCAGAATTCTTATATCAGCGTCCTGCGTGCACATATCGGAGAGGTCTTTCTGGGGTCTTCAGAAATTAGGAAATACCTGCTTTTGGTTGTGGGCACGTACAGTTATTCCCACCTAACCACACTCCAAATCCTATCACTGGACAGAAATATGAGCGTGCCAGCTTTGGTAGCTGGATTCCTGACGATTTTGTGAAAAAAAAAACCATAAGCGCTACAACTTCACAGGCTAAAGGTCAAACCCAGGAGGTTACAAAATTTGGTACTATTTAAATACTACAAACTAAAAAAATCAAAATTTTAATTTCTGTCAAAACTCAGCTGATAGGAGTTATTCCATGCTGATCCTGATTACGGAAGTAACATTCATTTCAAACGTTGGCGCCAGTTTGCGCCTGGGCTGTTTTCACCAAATTCGCTCTAAACTTGTTTGCTAGGGCTTAGGGGAACTCCGCGGTGGGTGAAGCAGGCACCGTCTGGCAAAAGTTGAAGCGTATAGAGATCACAGGATGAGTGGCTTACTCACCTCGGAGCACTCTTCTCCCAAAGGCTTAGTCCTGATCGCGAGCTAATCAGTGAGAGGGCGCAGACGAGCGGAAAATAGGCGCCAAATGGCGCCAGCGGCAAAATGAATGTTATTCGTAATCAGGACCCCAAATAACCCCTATGTACAAGTTTACAGCGAATTTGGTGAAAACAGCCCTGGCGCCAAACGCCAAAAATGAATGTCATTTTCGTAATCAGGGCACGAATTACCCCTATGGCAAAGTTTTGACGAAAATTAAAATTTTGAGTTTTTGGGGTAGAATAGTACCCAATCTCTTTACAGTTAATTTTATTTGTTGATGTGCTTTTTTAGGGCCTACGGTACGCTATGGCCAGCATGCAAGGCTGGCGAGTTGATATGGAAGACGCGCATGTAGTAGAGGTGTGTTGTAATTTTCTTGTTTGATTGTTGGCAGTTTTTCATACTAGTGAATGTTTTTACAATAACCATACTTATTTGTTCGTTTAGGTGTCTATGGCAGATCGGGAGCCGTATAAAGACTGGTCATTTTTCGCTGTATTTGACGGACATGCAGGAAATGTTGCAGCAGATGATGCTGCTGAAAACATCATGAAAACCCTCATGGAAACTCCACAATTTGAGAAGGTCAGTTTTAGTCTTCAAGCAAAGATATTCTCAGAATATTATAAGTTAAGTTATGACGTCTGCAAAAGGCACACATGAAAAAGAAACTGAGCATTTCTATACACGAAGAGTGTGTAATTTTCCGCAACATGAGCGTCTATTATTATCTGCTATTTACTGAACCTTCAGGTCACGGAAGAATTGAAATCTAATGGCGGTGTTCTGTGCGAGAAATCCATCATACTACTTGAGGATGGAATCAAGGCTGGCTTCCTCAAGTTGGACGAAAATATCCGTACCAGGCTAGACTCGGTAATGTTTTCTTGTTCTTCCTAAAATGCGCATATAAAATTCAATACGTGTTATATATGGGTAACTCAGTTCAGTTCTACTCAATCATCCAATTTCGCTCAACCTGTGAGTAATATTTCGGATTAAGACAGGACCTACGTGTAGGTGGTAGAAGTGCTTGCACGCGCAGCTTAGTGTCCCTAGGTGATGTTCTCAGGTACTGCAAGTTCTGAAGGTGGCAGGGCCCTCTTTCGAATCAGGGGGGATGTCTCCGTAATGTCGGTTGCGGATGACTAGGCGATTGTCTCCACGTGCGAAAGCCTTCCCTTGGCTCTAAGGGTCGCATGATGCATTTCTTTCTCTTCATCACTTAAGGAGTGGATCTTATACCATGGGAAAGTGTTAGTGCAACAGTTTATGTGATACGACTGACTGGCCTAAGGGTGGTCCACGCGAGGGCTACTCCGTTCTTTCGTCGAGGAAAAAGTGTACTTTCGATATACCCAGCGATAAGTTGGTTCAATCGTTTGAGATAGCAGGTGAATTGCGGACATTCCCCTTTCCTTTGCTTGTTTGAAACTTAGAGACCGCAGTAGTAGATTCTATCACTTTTCGTATAATTGCTCGCTAACCATTATTGTATTCATAAGTGCAAATAAATAGTTAAACTACGAAAAGTGCGTTAACTGTTTGTTTAACTGGAAATGAGTAATCATTCCTGCAGAAAAATCTCAATGGGAAAACCACAACCATGTTCCTACATACGTACTTGTTTGGTTTAGGACCGCAGTGGTTCAACAGCTGTCTGCGCCATGATTACTCCAACGCACATCATTATTGCAAATCTTGGTAAGTTCCTACTGCATAGTTAGTCATTTCCTTCACATTTAACAGCTGTTTTTAGGCGACTCCCGAGCGGTAGTTTCGCGCAAAGATGAGGGATCGTTCGGTACGGAAGATCATAAGGTAGTTTAGGTTACTGCTGATTGCTTTGAAATTTCAATTTGTGACCAGTCGCGTTTAATTTCTGCCTTCCATGTGTTTTAACTGGTATGTTCTAGCCTTACCACGACAAGGAACGAGAGCGAATTGTTGGTGCGGGCGGATCAGTAATGATTCAGAGAATTAATGGCAGCTTGGCAGTTAGCAGGTACGAAAGCTCTCGTTGTTATTTTCAGAATAGTTGAAATAGTATATGGGAATTTTCATGGAATTGATCTTTATAGCTGAAGTGTTTTACTCAATTAGATCTGCTGTTGTATTGTGCAAGCTTGCGGGGGATGTGAGTGTAGCGCCTAAGGTTGAATTTTGCAATACTCGAGGGATGCGTGAATCTACCTGTCGTTGTGGCCATTATTCATTTATTCACCACATTCCTCCATTAAGCGTAGAGGAGCGGTGGTTGAGAGTGTTGCCAAGGCAGGGTGCAGTAGGGCCCACCTTCCTCCCGCTTTATTTCTTGGCTTTCGCTTCATAGTAAGAAACACTTATTGACTTCAATCCAGTAGGCGCCATTTTAACAAAAGTTGCAAGTTGGGGCTGTTGCGAGTTCAAGATCTAGAATTCTTCCCCATAACGGTAGCTTATGAACCGCGAAAAGAAATTCGCCTTCTCTGAGGCTTTCTACATACACCAAAAAGGAATGAATTGTAACTGAAAAATTCACAACGCGTTCAAGCAAGTTGAACTTACAAGCACTTTTGGAACACGTAGTTGAAGGGGCTCTGGTACGCCGAGAATGAACATTCTTAGTATTTTCGATGGAAGCACGGCATCTGGATGGTTTTCTAATTGAGCCATTGCATGTTCTGAGTGATTGCAGCCCCATGCAAGGCTCGGGCGCTCCAGTACCCCTAGTGGCCCGTTAGGGCGCATGCATAGTCGGTCGTCCAATAGCAAGCATTAGATGTGTATCGATCGTCCGACGTACGACACATGCGATGTGTCGCACGATCAATACATATCACTACTTCACACTCGAATCACGTGTTGTTAGAGTTTGCACTGATTAAGCGCGTCGCCTCCTCTATGCGACCGCGCTTATCGTTACGATTGGACGACTTACTATGAATGCGCTCTTAGAGACGAGTGTGATATCTGTGCAGAAAGAAAAAAGTCTCTGCAGCAAGATTTCAGATCAAGTCCAGATTTTAATTCCTGTGAGGTTAAAGGCGTAGAACTCTGGGTAGATTTCTATCCCGTCATGTAAGACAGCAGACCTTCTTGCGGACGCGTTTAGTGAGCCGAAACAGCGGTCCGTTTGGCTCACTAAGTCAGTGACTCGAAATTCACATGAGAAAAAGGCTCACGATTGGGACCATGACAAAGGTCTTCCCTTCAGGGACTTCTGTCTTCACTTATAGTGGCACTTATGACGCAAATTCAACAAGTTTGCAATTTTTAAAGAATTTTAACTGCTTTTCGGCATTGCTGGAACTGGGCTGCGCAAATGAATCTAGTTTTCTGTTCAATTTATCTGCTCTTCAGTATAGTTTTTTAAAGTCCGGATTCCGTTCCATATGGTATTCTTTCCTTTCTTCTTCTCTTCGAATGATTTTTTTTTCGGAAAAGCTTACGCTTGATGTTACTATTGCAAATTGGATAATTTTTTTAAATTTCAGAGCGCTAGGAGACTTTGAGTACAAGAACGTTCCTGGCTTGGAACCCAACAAACAACTTGTGTCCCCTGAACCAGATGTGTATGTGCTT